TCCTCACGGGTTTCCCAGCTGAAGGGCAAGCTCCTTAGCGAGGGGCTTGTCTTCTCATGCAGGGTCCCCAGCACCTAACACAGCGCTGACACCCCATAGATGCTCAGTGAACATTACTTGAGTGGATAAACGAAAGGGAAGTCAGGAAAAGCAGAGGGACAGAAGCTGACCCCAAGGGGGCCCACGCAGCCGCCCAGAGACCCAGTGTGACCAGCACGTGCTTCCCGTGGGGAGGGTGGGCAGAAGGTGGGGCTCACAGGGCACAGCCCAGGGCACCACGGAAGAGATGGGGCCAGGGGCGGTCCTCACGTGTTCCAGCACGTGCACCTGCATGTCTGCATGCCTGGGGGAGGGGCCCTGTCTTCACTTAGTAGGACAGGGGAAAGGCCAACTTTAGGGACAGAGCAGGAGAAGCCTCTAGACTCGAGGAAAGGCTGCAGTGGCTCTGTCAGAGGAGACAGAATTACGGGCAGGTGGGAGAAAAGGCTGAGAAGTGATAATTGGTGACTGTGTGTCACATCTTTGAAGAAAAAAGGCAGCCAGCTGGTCCATGTAGCATATCCATTGGAGAAATAAGGCAGCAGGATGATTTATGTATCGTGTCACTGGAGAAATAAGGCAGCAGGATGACTTGGGAATCATGTCCATCGGATAAATAAGGCTGCGGGGTGGTCTATGCAGAATGAGTGTCCTTTGCAGAATGAGTAGACCCGCTAGAGTAGAAGCCATCTTTTAAGGGCAGAGAAGCCCCCAGCCCAGGGCTCACACTGAGGCCCCAGTGCAGCCAGAGGTGGGAGCCCCAGGGCAGGGCAGCAGCTCCCTGGTCCTCGTGGTCAGGCTATTTCTGGTCCATCATCTGCATTTCATGATGGGAAGGAGAAAAAGCGGGGAGAGCATTAAATGCAGGAGTTCTACTGTCGGGAGCGTGCCAGAACCCCAGGGGTGTGGTCACATACTCAAGGGGAAGAGTATGTGTGACAGGGCCCAGCAGCAGCCTGACTAGCAGCCCCCTGCATCAAGCACTGCCCTCGAGGCTCAGACAGACAGACAGAGAGACACACACACACACACACACACACACACACACACACACACACACACACACACACACACACACACACACACAAGCAGCTGGGCCTCAGACAGACCACGAGGGTGCCTGGGGGAGACTGCCCAATCCTCGCCAGCCTCTTGCTCAATCCCCAGGGGTTCACCCACCCTGCACACAACCCTCCCCTCTGTCCGGCACACCCTTCCCTTCCCAACTCCGCCCCCACACCCTCCCTGTCCTTTGATCCATCTTCACCCTATAGATTCACACCCCTGGCCTCACTCCACTCCCTGACCTGCATGGAGAGTTTAGAAGACAGACCGGGGCATGTGTGACCCTGCCCCTCCCTCTCCCATCCTTTGGGCTCCGTCTGTCCCTGGAAGAGTAGCTCTCCCTTCTGGGGACTGCCTCTGTGCTTGTCCAGCCTGGCCAGAGACCAGGGGGCCAGGCTGCCACACTGGGGAGAGGGTCAGGAGGCCCCCTGCTCCACACACCCAGGCTGACGTTTTGATCTCCATCTGCTCGATCCTTCTATGCCTCATTTGGTTCAGGACAACGGGGAGGTGGATAATTTATCTCCATCCCTCCAGACCCCAACACAGGCCTCCACTCCTGTTGCTTTACAGAGCACTTCTGCATTTGGCACCTTGGCATCTCGTAAGGGAGGTGTGACAGGAACCCCCCTGGAAGGTTATGGGCAGAGACTTAGAGCGAGGTCTCCCCTAGGGGGGCTCTTTCTTCCGCATGATGCTGCCTTTCTGAAGACCTCTCACCCAGCTTTTATCAGGAATTCTGCACAGGTTTCTGAGGGCCCCACTGCCCCCAACCTCTGGGAGTTTCCTGAGCACAGGGCCTATGTCCTTCCTTCCTTTCTTCCCAAAGAAAAGCTAAATGCAGGGATGAGCCTCCAGGGACTTGGTGAAAGTTTATTTCCTAACAGGGACAACAAGGCAACCTGAAAATTATTTAAGGCTCCATAACCTCTGGCCAAAAATTAAGGTCCCCAAACCTTTGATTTTCTAGCTGGAAGCCACTCAGATTTAATGACAAGTCTGCATCAAGGAACAGTTTGTTCAAAATACACACGCACACAGACACACACACACAGAGATACACATATATTTATACACAAGCACACATACGTAGGTGTGGCTCTTGGTTACTTTTAATAAGGAAGAATCTCAAACTAAACTAACCTCCAACCAACCACTTGCTAATGTAACTGCTGATGTTACAGTAATCTAAATAATAACGATTGCTAACACTTCCTAACCACTGACTATGGACCAGGAACGTGGCTGTCTAGCTGAAAACCACATTTCCTAGCCTCACTTGAGTTAGGAGTCATGTGACTAGGTTCTGACAAATGGATATAAACGGGAGTGACGGGAGCTATTTCTAGTCAAGCCCTAGAAGAAAATGTCCCCTCCCTCTCCTCTTTCCCCCTTACTTCTGGAGGGGCTGTGGGAGCTGGAGCAGCTACTCTGGACCTGGGGCTGGAAGCTTTGAGTGGAAGAAGACAGAAACCAGGTAAGTGGAAGTTGGTTCCAGGGCACCAGTGGCCTTAAGACAACCTCGACTCCTGTCCTGGTTAAGCCTCTATCATATTTGCGTCCTGTTAGAGCAGCGGGGACCTTGGTTTCTCTGCCATTTCAACAGGGGGGACTCGAGGCTGCTCTTCTGGGGAGGGAGCCTCAGGGCAGCAGTGAAGGGTGATAATCACCCCCACCAACAACAACCCTCCCCAGCCTCCTACACACAGGCACACAAACACACAGATACACAATCTCAAACACCACGTGTCTTTACCTTCTTTGCTTTCAGAGTGTTTCAGAGGCCGCAGGGCTGCAAAAAAAAGGAAGGAGTACACAGTGAGGGGGGCACTGTGAAAAGTGGTGGGGTAAGGTGTTGGGCAGAGGCACAGGAGCCAAGGAAGAAATAAAGGCTAGAAGAACTGGGAGAAGGCAGGAGGGACAGTTAAGAGGGTGAGGGCAACATCACAGCACCAGAAAAGGGGCCCTCGGCTGCTATCCCAAGTCCCAGCTCCACTCTGTGGCTTGTCACTCCTCCCCCCCGCCTCAGTTTTCTGCATCTCTATAACGGGAACAACTCCCCGGCCCTCCTATGAGCTGGAGATGTGAGAGTACGCTGAGCCAGCTCTACAAATAGGGTGAAGTGAGGCACTGAAGGGGGCTGCAAGTGTCCCCCGGTGGGCCTGGGATCGTGCAGAACTGGGACCCAGTGCTCTCTAAGCCTCCCTCTTCTCGCCACTCCCTCCCTTCTGCCAATTATACCTGCCTCCAAGCATGACAAATGAGGCCTGATCCCAGGGCTGTCTCCACACTGGCCACACCCGGGGACAGCAAAGGCAGAGAATTAATTGACATAATTTACAGCAGTCCCCAGGGGTCCATTTCCTGCCCTTCCTTCTGCGGGTGTTGGGGGGAAGCTGTGTCAACTGGCACCATCCCAAATGGCTCAGTGGGAACCTGCCTCCCCCAGCTAAGAAGCCCAGGGAAGAGAAGGCAGTGAGGCCTCCAGCCCCCGCTGGGCTCCAGGCTCGTGCCATGCCCTTTGCAAAGTCACTCGAGATAGCTTCAAAAGGGCCCTCTGGTGCCATCAGGGCAGGAAGACATTTTACAGATGAGAAACTGAAGCCCAGAGGAACAAAGCACTTTGACCAAAGTCACACAGCCTCTAACCAGAGTGGGACTGTGTCAGGCTGATAATATAGTCCTAATAACAGGACTGCAAAGTATGGAGCCCTTATAGGCGCCAGGTATGACACTAGGCCCTTTAGATACATGATCTCATTTAATTTAACCCACACAACCTATGAAGGGAGCAGTTAGGAGGAGACTGAGACCCAGAGAGGCAAAGTGACTTGCTCAAGGCCACTCAGCTTATATGAGCTGGAGCTGGAACTAAAACCCAGGCTGCCCTGTCTCCTGAGCCCTCACTCCACCCCTAGGAAGCCACCAGACTCCACAGTGCAGGTCCCTCAGGGTTGAGTGGCCTGGTAGGTGGGTAAAGGCAGAGGCAGGAGAAACAAAGCAGCACCCGGGAGACCTGCCTGAGGTCTAACGCTGAGCGAAGACAGACGCACCTAGGTTGGGAGGCCTCAGTCCCCGGGACACACTTCATTCAAACCTTCACGTGAAACGTGGCCCCTCCAGATGCTGGAGTCCTCTCCCCTGTTCAGTGCCGGCTCTTAGCTCAGACTTACCCGTCTTAGATCCTTCTACATCCCCATCCTGGTCCTCAGCGCCTGGAAGAGTGAACCAAAACTTTCTCAGCCCCACTTTCATCATTGAACTTCTGCTCCCGGGAGCGCGAGAGCAGGTAAATGGGGCTGAGCAGGCCTGGTCTGTGGTCCAAATGCTGGACACAGGGTCAGAGCCTGAGGCCAGCACAGAGCAGAGTGCTGTGGCAGGACGAAAGGGACCCCAGCCTGGAGCCCACCACTCACCTGGCCAAGGACCATCTACTTGCCCCTCCACCATCCACCAGCCCCATCACCCACCGTCCACTCACTCACCAACCCAGTCAACCACCACCTCCAACGTGCATACCCACCCGTCTACGGTTCCTCAACCTTCCGCAGCCTGCCCAGCCACCTGCCACACAGGCGCCACCCACCTGTTCCAACTGACCAGTCTCCTCTCCGTTCACAAACGCTCTCCTTCCTGACACCCAGTCATCTCCCACCCCTCATCATCTACTTTCATATTCACCCACATACCACCCACCAGGGTCAACTCACCCACTCACCAATGTCCACTCACTCACCCACCACTCACTAGAGTCAACTTACCTATCAAGGCCAAACCACCTACCTATCGATGTCGACTCACCACCTACCAATCACCAAAGTCAACGCCTACTGACCCCCCAGCCCAAGCAAACAGCAGTTGCCTCAGACTCTGCCCCACTTGGAGGCAGACACACCCTCTCACGGTGACACGCAAACCCACGAAGCATTCACGCTTGTGCTACTCGAGTTCCATATGCTTTCACTCACAGACACTCCCATGTGACACAGGCTCTCACAGTCACGCTTGTTTGCACAGACACATCCATCCCCTTGTCACACATCCACCACTCACTCCCAGTCACACTCATATCCACACTCATCCTGCCATGTCTGCACACTCACAGGCAGGCTCACACTTGTTTACAACACATGTTCGGCCTCAAGATCACACACAGACACAGTCTAGCTGCATTTGCACACCCACACTCATTCTGTCACTGGAAATTGACGCTCGTGTTGATGTCACAGACACACTAACATACCCAGGGACACACGCGCGCACGCGCGCACACACCCCTCTCTCACTCACCTGCATTCTCCTCCTCACAGCTCTGTTTGATCTTTCTCCAGCACACGAAGGCCAGGGCCACCAACAGTGCGACGAGGCAGACAGAGAGCCCCACGGTCACCCACAAGGCCTCAGGGGGGAATGTCATGGGCTGCCCTGGGAGGGGAGGTGGGGAGAATGGAGAGAGACTGTCATGCCTGGCCCCCAGTGGCCCAGAGGACAGCCCCTCTGCCTCCAAGGTGTGAACAGGGGCTCCTACCCTCACTGGGCCCCGACACCATGAAGAGAGCTTACTTAAGTTCCCGTGCCCCTTCCCTGCCCATCCATACACCCTCTAAACCCTGACAGCCGTGGCTGCCGTGGACATGCCTCAACCTGGGAGGGCTGAAGAGTCTGTGGCTGATGATGCTCAAGAACCTTCCATGGCTCCCTACTGACTTGAGAATAGTGCTTCAGTCTTCTTCTTTGTAATTCCACTGCTCCAGACGAACTGGTGTCCTAACCGTTCTCTGCAGAGGCTCCTTCCAGCCCCCTCACCATTGCTGTCAGTTTCCTCTACCTAAAAACTGCTCCCTAACTCCCCATCTAGCTTACGATTCCTCCTCGGGAGGCCCTCCCTGATTACCCAATGTCCCACCTGGTGATAACCCCCCATCTTATAGATCAGGAGTTGGCAAACTACAGCCCGTGGGCCAAATCTGGCCTGTGGCCTGTTTTTGTACAACCCTTGAGTTAATGATAGTTTTACATTTGTAAAGAGTTACCAACAAAAGGACAGGCAGCAGCAGCAGTAGCAACAAAGACGGTACGTGGCCCACAAAACCTAAAATATACATTATCCAGCCCCTGACAGAAGATGTTTGCAGATTCCCGTGTAAAGATGAGGGCGGACACCGAGGGTGCCAGAGTGAAGGCTCTGGGTTTACCCAAGAGGAGACTTGCCAGGGGAATGTTTCTGTGAAACACTGAGGGCCCCCCTGTTAGCTATCTCAGTGCAGAGGGAAGGAGTTGAGCCACCCTCGCCTGGGTCAGGGCCAGCAGCTGTTCTGAGCACACCATCCTCCAGCCCAGTCCCAGGACCCACGCGGGGTCCTGAGCAGAGGCCCTGGAGACAACAAATCTAACAAAAGCCAGGGGGAAGGCAGCTCCTGCAGAAGGTGCTGTCAGAGCAGACAGCAGTGCCATGAACCCTTGGGCAGTGGAAACCGTGACACAGATGCAGGGATTTGCAGGCAATGTCACTTTCAACGGGTATGGCTGGCAACGCTGCCGCTCTGGATACCGGCAGCAAAGGGACCCATCACCCTGACGAGCAGGAGCAGGGGAGGAGGACAGGAGCTGATATGAGGGGCCTGGAGGGTCAGTCCCTGAAGCTCATGGAAGGGACCTCTGGGAATCCCAGGGTGGGGCCCCTGCAGGAAAGCAGAGCCACGGAAATACCCAGGAGGAGGGGCTCTTGCTATGTCCACCCTCAGGCTGGTGTTGGTGCCTGGAGCACAGGTCAGACTTGCCCTCATCCCACCAGTCAAGGACAGAGCGGGGCTCAGACCTGCATCTCCAGGCTCCACGTCCAGTGTTTGCTCCATAAAGCCCCCTCCACATACAGCAACCCCGGGTGCGGGAGAGACCAGGCTGGAGGACTGAAAGTCTCAATCCCAGAGTGTTTAACAAGGCTCAAAGCTGCCTGAAGCAAAATACAGGCCAAGGGCTCCAAAGTAGGCCAGACCTGCTCTCACAAAAACAGGAGGCTGGGTGGTGGGGAGGAGAGAAAATTAGGCTGAGAGGCTAAAAGTTGGATTCTGGTTCCGGTTCATCTGCTTACGGCAGGCTGTCGGAGCCAAGGTCCACAGACCCCTGTGTTTGAGTTTAGAGGGGCCACAAACCCTCAAAACTTAAATGCAAGTGACTGCGTTTATCACGTATCCAATTTTCAGAGAGGTGTCTAATCACTGAAAGCGTCAGAGCCACTGTGCTAGCCTGTGGCCTTGGGAAAGTTCTCTCTTCTCTCTGGGTTTCAGTTTCCTCATCTGTGAAAAGAAAGCACTTTAAATGTCAGCTACTGAAATTTTCAATAAAGATTTTTCTCTTAGGTGGGGTAAATGTCCCCAGTGAGCAGGAGAGGAGGATGGCAGCTGACAGGAGGGGCTGGTCCATGAAGCACACTGAAGAAACCCCTGGGGATCCCAGGATGGGGCTCCTGCAACAAAGCATGGAGCAGAGCCACAGAAGTACCCAGGAGGAGGGGCTCTTGCTATGTCCACCTCTAGGCTGCTGTTGGTGCCTGGAGCACAGGTCAGCCTTGCCCTCATCCCACCAGTCAAGGACAGAGTAGGGCTCAGACCTGCATCTTCAGGTACATGAGTATAACCACATTTATATTCACAAGCCCTTTCTACACAGTGTGGTGAATATCCAGTTCAGCTCAGTGTGCAAATTATCACAGAGTTCACCAATCCTTCAAGGTTCCCCTCAACTCCCACCTGTCCCTAGAGACTTCTCCTGAAACTCCAGCCCATTCTGACCACTCCTCCTCTGAAAGCTTTACATTCTCTGTCAATCCTGCTGTATCTAATATTTCTGATTCTCTCCTGTGGATACATCAGACCATATACTGTTCTCTAAAAGGTCAAAGAGACCCCTCGGGACATCCAACAGCCCAGGGCAGTGACTCCTCCACAGAAAGTACAGACCTGAGGGTCTCCAGAAAGAGGATGGGATCGATCTTGGGGAGGGGGTGGGCAGAGGGAACACAGCCTTGCCAGAAGGAAAACCCTAAAAGAGAAGGAGGAATGAGCCTGAATGCCTAGAAGGCAAGTGTGATGGGCACTGCCTCTGAGCTTGCATAAGTGAAGGCCACGTAATGTCCATGTAAGTGGGGGGAACAGGAAGATAGGAAGCCTCTGTGAATCCAGAGGCTTATGCAGAAACTGGCCACCAGAGGGATTAGGACTTGCATGGGCTGTGGGTCGGGTGGAAGTCATGGAAGAGAAAATAGGAGAACCAGACGGACAGAACCTGCTGTCCTGACCCCAGAGAATGCAGGGACACCCCTGGGAAAGCTTAGTTGGCCCATGAGGAGGGACAGAGGAGCCAGAATGAGGTCCAAACAAGGAGGAAGACTGCCTCTCCTGGCCCGAGTGTGGGCCTGAGCCCGCTTCACCTGAGTGCCACTCAGGTGGGCACTAAAGGAAGGGAAGTGTGTCTGGGTTAGGACCCCCAAACCAGAGATTGCGGCAACTGCCAAAGGGGCGGCGTTGATCTAGTGTTTGACCACATGGGGGCAGCAGAGAGCCCGGCTGTTCCAAAGGCTGCCTGGGTCCCGCTCAACTCCATCAGGAGAGCTGACATTGATGGGGTGAGGGGTATGGCCACCTGGAGAGCTCCAGCTGTCTCTCAGGGCCTCGCAGTCAGACGGTGCCCAGCATCAGATGGTGATGTAGCAACACCTTCCCAGCACTTGGAGAGGTTCCCGCAGGAAAGCACTCCAGAGCCATGCCTTGTGGCTGCTCCAGAACTCCCGCCCACACCTCCAGATCCAGGCAGGTACTCAGTTCCCTGTACAAGAAGCACAGGTACCACCTAAGACGCTCTTAGAAGGGCAAACACTACAAATGATTCCTATCAGCTCGATAAAGCAAGTCCCTTAAGGACTTCTTGGGGGAGAGTTTGAAACACCTGAAATGTATGAAAATGTTTTAAGTCTTCTGACCACCCAAGCCTACCTAAATTCCAGCTCAGGGTCCAGATAAAAGGCAATGGCCCCCTCTATCCTTCCCCAGCTGTTCGTCTGCCCCTACCTGTGATGGTGACAGAGCCATGAGCGTCCTGCTGCAGCACGGGGTTGCGCACCAGGCAGCTGTAGGTGCCATTAGCGCCCAACACCACCCTCAGAACACTGCGCACGTCGAACAAGCCCTGCTCGTTAGCCATCTGCGACGTGGTTACGTTGCCGGTCAAGGGCGCACCCTGCCCATCCTGCCAGAACACTTCGGCCTCGGGGTAGCCCCGGTAGCTGGAGCACGTGATGGTAACCGTGTCCCCGGGCCGCAGGTCCTTGTTGGGATCCAGGGTCATGCTGGGCTTTGAGTAGGGGGCTGGAAGAGAGCAGAGGATAGAGGGCAGAGGTCAAGGTAAGGTAAGGGCAGCGGGACACAGTGGAGGGGAAAGGTGCCTGGGGCTGTGAGGACACGGGTTAGCACTGGGGCAGTGGGTAAAGGGGCTGCGGGAAGTATGAGTGTGCCAAAGGGAGGGGACCCCCCCCCCTTCGCGGCTCTCACCTGCCACCTGCAGGTTGACCGCGGCGCTGCCGAAGTCCCGGATGCTCACGAAGCAGGTGAAGCTGCCCTCATCAGCCACGCGCACGCGCTGCAGCCTCAGGGACGCGTTGCCCTGAGCCAGCAGGTCTGGGAAGAGCGCAGTGCGATTGGCATAGGCGCTGCCCTGGTCGCGGCCCTCGGCGAAGCTGTGCACCAGCTGTTTGGTGTCTGTCAGCTGCCAGATGAGGTTGAGCTGTGCCAGGCTGAAGCCGGGCTCGGGCGAGAAGGAGCAGCGCAGGGTGGCGTCAGTGCCCACGAGGGCCACCACGGGGTCTTCGGGAACCTGGACTTCCACAGCGCCTGAGGGCGAGGTTGGAGCGGCAGGCAGTGAGGAGGGGCGCCGACACTCCGGGCTACCACCCCCTAGCATCCTGCTCCTCCATCAACCCCCAGGTCCCGTTCCATCTTCCCATTTTCTCCCCAGACCTAAAAACAGATTAAGTCTCAGCACTTCCAGACGTGGAGTCTCCCTAATCTTCTGACAAGAATCATAGCAGTTTGGCCTTGGCCTGACAAGGTCCATCCCCGGGGTGGGAGGGTGGGGAGGAGACCCGGCCTACAGCAGCCTCCAGCCCTAGCAAAACTCCCCTTTCCGCCAGGATCCATTTTCCTCTCCTATCCTTCCGCTCTCTTCTGAGATCTGAATGCTTCTCCATTCTCTCCAGAGGTTTCCAGAGCCCTGGAGTCAGGGGACCCAGAGAGCTGAGAGGACCTGTAATCATCACCCTCACCCACTCCCACCACGGTTAGATTGCCGCCTATGCACCCTGTTTATCTTTTCCGTTATTATTATTAGGCATCTCACTGTTCCGAGAGACTGAAGGTATGGAGCTAGATTCAGATACCGTGACCCCTGCACACAGGACCACCACCACCCCCAGGGGGACATTTAAGAAAACAAAAACCTGTGGGGTTTCTATGCGGTGTAATGGTGACAGAGCCATGAGCGTCCTGCTGCAGCACGGGGTTGCGCACCAGGCAGCTGTACATGCCATTAGCGCCCAACACCACCCTCAGAACACTGCGCACGTCGAACAAGCCCTGCTCGTTAGCCGTCTGCGACGTGGTTACGTTGCCGGTCAAGGGCGCACCCTGCCCATCCTGCCAGAACACTTCGGCCTCGGGGTAGCCCCGGTAGCTGGTGCACGTGATGGTCACCGTGTCCCCGGGCCGCAGGTCCTTGTAGGGATCCAGGGTCAGGCTGGGCTTTGAGTAGGGGGCTGGAGGGGAGCACAGGGTAGAGGGCAGAGGTCAAGGTAAGGCAAGGGCAGCGGGACACAGTGGAGGGGAAAGGTGCCTGGGGCTGTGAGGACACGGGTCAGCCCTGGGGCAGTGGGTAAAGGGGTTGCGGGAAGTATGAGGGGTGTGCCAAAGGGAGGGCACACACAACCCCTTCGCGGCTCTCACCTGCCACCTGCAGGCTGACCGCGGCGCTGCCGCTGCCAAAGTCCCGGATGTTCAGAAAGCAGGTGAAGCTGCCCTCATCAGCCACGCGCACGCGCTGCAGCCTCAGGGACGCGTTGCCCTGAGCCAGCTGGTCTGGGAAGAGCGCAGTGCGATTGGCATAGGCGCTGCCCTGGTCGCGGCCCCAGGCGAAGCTGTGCACCAGCTGTTTGGTGTCTGTCAGCTGCCAGATGAGGTTGAGCTGTGCCAGGCTGAAGCCGGGCTCGGGCGAGAAGGAGCAGCGCAGGGTGGCGTCAGTGCCCACGAGGGCCACCACGGGGTCTTCAGGGATCCGGACTTCCACTGCGGCACCTGGGGATGCGGTTGGTGGGGTGGGACGGTGAGGAGGGGCCGGGACACTCCGGGCCTCCCTAGTCCCCCTCCCCTTCCGGGTTAACTTCAGGCCCTGTCCACCCCCATTTTTTTTTTTTTTTTTAAGTCCTAAGAGTTTATTACCTTTGGTTCTAATTCAATCAGAAGGAATATAGTAAGCACCCACTATGCCAGGGGTAAGAGTTAGGAATGCCACGGAGAACAACACCAAGGTCACACCCCTACAGAGCTTACGTTTTAGTGGGAGAGAGGGACAAACTAGCACACAAATTCTTATTAGTATGTGATTAGGGGTACGAAGGAAGAAAGCAAGCCAATGGATAGAAAGCAAGGAGGTAGCTTTTCAAAACTCTGGCAGGTATTTTACACCTGTCTGTGCTGGTTGCATTTCCCATATATATATATTATCTTTATAAATTGTAAAAAGGGAGTCTTTAAAAAGTATGCACTAAAATGTTATTATTGGTTTTCTCTGGATGAGAAAGAATCTCAAGTGCTTTTTCATTTTTCTTTTCCTAAATACACATGATTAGTTTTTATGCAAGAAAGAAAGAATAACCATGCATTTAAATATGGTGGTGAGCCACTTTCTCCATAAAGAGATATTAAGCTGAGATTGAAAGGGAATGAAAAAAGAGCATGACATAACCAGAGAAAAGCCCGGTGGAGCAGGTTCCCATGCTCCTACCCCTGCCCTCTATCCTGTGGATTTACCCTGCAGCCTCCCACCCAGTCACCTCTGCCTCCAGTCCAGCTCTTCTTTTAGAGCCCTGGAAAGTTAAGTAGGGGTTCCTGATAGCTTTTCTTTTGGTGAGATGTGTCCCCTAGCCTGGCACTGCCATTCTTGGGTAATGGTTAGATTGTGTGCTTTGGGCACCAGCAAAGCAGGCACACTCAAACAGTGTGAAGATAGGGCTTTCCTGGTGGCACAGTGGTTGAGAGTCCACCTGCCGATGCAGGGGACACGGGTTCGTGCCCCCGGTCCGGGAAGATCCCACATGCCGCAGAGCGGCTAGGCCCATGAGCCATGGCCGCTGAGCCTGCGCGTCGGGAGCCTGTGCTCCGCAACGGGAGAGGCCACAACAGTGAGAGGCCCGTGTACCGCAAAAAAAAAAAAAAAAAAAGTGTGACGATCAAACAGTCTCGAAACAAAGCTAACTGAATACTGCACTCTTTAAAGGTTTCTCACACTTAGAAAAATAGCATTTTATAGTTAGTATTTTCATCATGAATAACATACAGGGAGTGGGTATCATCATCTTTGCAGTGTGTAGTGATCTCCAAAGGTCTTATGGGGGCATTGGATCTCTTGCCACAATGCCAGGTGCCACAGGCCAGCTCTCCAGTTGGAGACCAACAGGGTGCCCCTTGTTTCGGGCATTTGGGGGATGAAACCGGAGGAATCACCCAGGCAAAGCCCTTTGTCTGAAGAAATCAAAGGATCAATAGCTCTGGGTAAAGCGGTGCTTCCTCTTTCCGACCACCAGATGGCACCAGACACTCAACTTTGTCTACCCCTTGGCGGGAGAAGGCAAACTCTCCCTTAGAGCAGAAACTGATTAGGATTTGAATTATGATGATGTTGTTATTAAAGTAGCTGCCATTATTGAATGCTAACTCTGTGCCAAGGACTGTGTGGGAAGATTTACACACCTGCTATGTGGCTGGCATCAACCTTGGCCCTGGAGATACATCCTGCTCTTTGAGCAGAGCAGGCAATCAGCAAGCAAACATATAATATGTCAGGTGGAGATAAATGTTGGGAAGAAGCATGAAGTAAGGTCAGGGAAAGGGAGGGAAGATGAACTATTTTATACAAGGTAGCCAGGAAAGCCTGGGGAAGGTGGCATTTGAGCAAAGGCCTGAATGAAATAAGGGATCAAGTCATGCAGACATTCGGGGGCAGAAATTTTCAGGCAGAGGGAACAGTATGTGCAAAGGCCCTGGGGAGGAAGCATACATACAGTTTGTTCGAGAAACAGCGTTATCGCATTTAGTGCTCACATTACCATTTTACAGAAGAGAAAACAGAGTCTAAAAAATGTAAAGTAAGTTGCCTGTTGGATCCCAGAGGTAGGAATGAGGTGGACAGGGCAGAGAGGAGATTGGGAGGAGGTTAGCCAAAACCTCCCCAGCCCTGCTAGACAGAGAGGCTTGGTGGGAATGGTCCCCTCCTCCCCCACCTCCAGGCCCCACTCTGCTCCCCTCACCTGTGAGGCAGAACCACAGCACTCCCAGGGCAGTGGCCACACGCATACCCGTGCTGCCCGGTCCACACAGCATCTTCCCGTGAGGCAGCTGACAGCTGGGCTCTCCGTGGTGGAAGGCTGCCCCTGCCTACGAGGAAGAGGAAGTGAGGCCTTTGTCTCAAAACGTCCTCCCCAGGCCCTCTCTCACCTCATCTCCCCTGGACCAGCTTGGTGGAAGGCTGCAACTGCCCGCTGGGAGGTCCTCCCTCCTATACCCGCACAAGGCTCCCTGCTGAGGGATATTTTGAGAGATGCTGGCAGGAGGGAAGTGAGTCACTGGGGAGGCTGGATCAGGGGAGCAGGGCAGGGGGCAGCTGGGACCCACCCCTTCTAAGATGTTGGTATGCAAACAAAAGGAAGGAGAGGCAAGGCAGCTAGTAAAGGCAAATCTGCCTGCTCAGGCCGAGGATGTACACGGATTGGTTTGGCTCAAGACAACAGCTGGTAGGGGAGAATAAGACTTAGAGATTGGCTAAGAGGTTGGAAGTTTATCCTAAAGGCAGCTGGGAGCCACTGGAGGTTCTGGAAGAGAGGAAAGGATATGGTCAGAGCTGTGGTTCCTAAAGATTACTCTGACAGCATGTGCAGGATAAATGAGAAGAGCTGGACAGAAGAGACAAAGCAGGTCTGGGAGAAAGCGACAGCATGGTAGGACAGGGGAGAGAGAGAGGGAGCAGTCAGGGTGTCCATGGTGTTGAGCCCAGTGACCAGGTGGGACACTCACGGAGACAGAGAATGTGGAAGGGTTCAGTGTAGGGCACGTACAGGGAGCAGTGTTTGTGCAGGAACTTCCAGGTGAGACTTGTAGAAGGCCTGGTATATGAGTACGGGGTTGAAGGGAAAGGACACTGGCTAGTTAAACCTGTGTGTATTGAGTGCCCAAGACCGATCAGAAATGGACGAGGCCTGGACTGGGGCTGACCCCCCAAGCAGAGTCAGGACCGAGCGAGGTATTTCTGTGACTACACATCAGACCTGAGCCAGGGAGGCCCAGACCTCCCCGGGTCCAGCCCCGCTCCTGGTCCTGGCTGCCCTTCTGCCCGCCCCCAGCCCCACCAAGCTGTCCACCTTCTCCCTGTGTCCCACAGCTGCTGCCTGACTGTTCGTGCCACCTCCTGACCAAACCACGTCACCAGGGTCGATTCATGCTATCCAACACGATTTCACAAACATATAAAAGGTTTCACATTTTCCAAAACCACCCAGGGAGCCGGGCTGCCTGACTTGGTCCCATTCTGCAAGAAGAAAAAAATTAAAGCCCAGATAAGGGAGGGGACTTCGTTAGTGTGATGTAATTTGCCAGAGAGCACAGATGAGAAGGGTTCGAGTTCCCCACCTCCTGACACACCTCTCTGCCCTTCCAGGGAGCAAATGTCATCAACAGCCATTAGCGTCAATTCCAGTCACAGGCACCCAGCCTCAGCCCTCCCAATCCCAGCCTAGCACCCCACTCCCCACCTCCCCCACACACACCCAGCAGCTGAGCTGAGGGAGTCCCTTAGCCAAGCCGGGTGCATCCTGCCCAGCACATCCTCCACCCCCAGCTGTCCGCAGCGGGGAAGCCCTGAGCAGCCACTTCCTTCCCAGACACTTCCGGTCCAAACCTGGCGGCCTCAAAGCCTTGCCACCTGCTGAGTCAGCAGCCTTCACGCTCCATTCATAAAGTCACCCTTGGCGGGCACCACATCCTGCCTACAAGGGCCACCACAGCCCAGAGGAAGTGCTGGCAGGCAGCGGCCTGCCATGCTTGCCTGCCCACTGAAGGAATCACAGGGACTAAGGTTAAGAAATTCCCAGATTCCGAGTCTCCCTTCCTTTCTTTCACCCCCAGAGAGAACCAAGGCCTGTCCTTCCTGGGCCTCCCTCATCCTTCCCACTGCTGCCCATGCCCACCGTCTCCCACCCTGACCTGGGCGACCAGCACTCCTGTGATCCTCCTGGGACCCTCCAGTGCATCCCTGACAACCCCGCATTTTACATGTCTCCTCTTAGGACCTGAGGTAGGAATCTGCTCACATCCTTCCCCCACAGGCACCTCTCATGATTCCCTATTTACCGCAGGAGTAAACCCACACGCCTCTGCCTGGCACTCAAGACCTTTCTTATGACTTCTCCTTCATCCACCAAGCTAATTCCTACCACTGGGCTGTACTTGCCAGGGTCGCTTGGGACTGCCTGCCACCTCCACAAATGTGGGGAGGTCAGGGAGCACCTCTCTTCCGACCAGACTTATCAGGTTCCCCAAGGGCCGAGCTGTCCTTCCCTCCAGAGGGAGGATGAGAGGTTCGCAGGGGTGGGCATTGGATTTGCTCCCTTCAACTCCTTTCCTAGACTCTGGACTCAGGGAAGTTCCCACTCTCATGCTTTCCCTGGGGAGAAGCCCTTGACACACCACAACCGAGAACACCAAGAGACTCCCACCCCTATAGCTGGGCTCCCAGAGCTGAAGGCAGGAGGGAGAAACACATCTCAGAGACAAGATGTTGCCAGGGAATGAGAGCATGGCCTATGACCAGTGGGACAGATGGGCTGCCTAGTACGCAGAGCCCCATGGAGACACACAGACCTCACGCTGCATTCATACCACGTTGCCCACCTTTTCTACAAAGGGGAATTGTCATCCCCAGGCAGGACCTGCCCTGGAGTCAGCATGTACCGCCCCCCACCCCCGTCTACCCCAGTTCCAGCCAAATGTGGGAACTCCACAGAACCCTGCCAGGAAAGACCGCAAGGTGCCTTGGCTTTCCCAGAGGAGCAGGAGTGAGGGGGCCAGGCCACCCTTGGCCTGAGGGTACAGTAAGTGCATCCAACCTCAGCAGAGGTGGAGCCACAGGGAAGCTCCCAAGAGATGACCCAAGATGTACCCCCATAAAGCCAAAACCAAAAACCAAGGGCTGAGGCTGGGCTCTTTACCAAGGTGCCCTGGACCTGGGGATAACCAAGAGGAACTCCTTGCCCCTACCATGACCACCAATAGCACCCTATATTCTCTTAACCCCCTGCCTCTTCCCAATTCCTGCAGGGACTGCTTGGACAACATTTCCCACGGAGAGGGCAAGAAGGGTCAAGCCACATAACCAGTGTCAATCTTTGCTAGCCAGCATAGGATAGAAGCACAGCTTCTGAAAACAGCAGTTAAGCCCCTGGATCCAGCTATGCCTGAAGCAAGCTGCACACCTAGACTGCCCAGATACTTCAGCCAATCATTTCCGCGCCCCCCACCCCAGGCCAGTTTGAGCTAAGTTTCTATTACCTGCAATTGAAGGAGTCCCTGAATATACATTCATTTGTGTATTTAGTTATTCACTTAACTATTCACCAAATGCCTGGTAGGCAGGCACTGGAAACAGAGAGGACTAAGCTGCGTCTGTCTTGCATCAATAGGGAAGTGCACAGAAATCACCGCAGTTCCGTACGGAGTGCTGTTTAAGACACAGTGAGGGCTATTTGGAGGCACCTCAGAGATATGATAACCATAAAGGTGAGTGCTGACAAATGATGAGCAGCTCCACAGGTAGACAGGCTCGGAAAGGTGGTCTCTGCCCAGCCCCAAGAGACCTGTCCTCCTGGCACTGCTTGTCTGCCTCTCAGCCAGATCTCTTTGAAACAGTAAAAAGTGAGCCCAAAGTGTGGGTTCTAGTCCCACTTCTGACACTTTGCTGTGCAGTCTTAATAGGTGACTTTCCCTCTCTGAGCTCAATGTTCCCATCTATAAAAGAAAAAACGCTTTACTGGATGCTAATGGAACTTCATTGGTACGTTAAGCCTTCATGTACTCTACCCTTAAGGTCTAGCCAATTAACTGCCATGCAGGTCACACTGAAATGTACAAAATGACTGTGGTAGAAACCACTAGTGTTCCCCTTACATCTATTCTCCTCCTCTTCTGTAGAATATTTTGTTAGGCACAGGGCCTCTTGGCTAAAGACTACAGATCCCAGCCTGCCTTGCAGCAGGGTATGGCCATGTGATCATTTTCTGCTTAATAGGATGTGGGAGGAACTGATGTGTACAACTTCTGGGGCATGCCTTTAAAGAGAAGGAGCACACCCTCTCCTCCTCCCCCTTCCCACTGGCTGGAACACAGATGTGGTGAGCCATCTAGGACCATGCTGCCAAAGGCAACACCCTGGGGACTGCAGAACAGCAGGACAGAAGGCCCCTGAGTGGCTGCAGTATCAGCACTGGACATACCCGGACTGTCACTTGGGTGAGAATAAGCATCTGTTCTAGCGTCACCGTTATTTTGGGTCTTTCTTACAGCATCCGAAGTGACTAATTTAGGGACTCATCCCTCCCTTCCTCTCCCGCCTTCTCTTCCCCCTCTTCCCACCCCGTGAAAATTGCCACTGCTCAGAGCAGCAAAAGGAAACCACATCTAGAATAGGTGTTTCAAAACATGAACTGAACACTGTCTCATCAGAGTCACTTAATGATACCTGGGCACAGCTTAGGAGATATTTCAAGGGTAGACATGACTGGTCTTAGGGATCGTTTGTATGCGAGGGGCTGAAAGAGCCAAAGATGTACTGAAGGCTTCAACCAATGGGTGCGTGTGTCACACACAGAAGATGGGGAGACCTGGAAATGAGGGGGGAAGAACAATTCTGATTGGGCTTGGAATGGATCATCCGTGACAAAATGTCTGATGGATTCCTGGACACACAGAGCTGGTACTCAGAACAGGACGGGGGAGCTATTCATGGAAGCCGAAGTTGGGATCACTGAGGGAGCTCATGGAATGAGAAGAGCCCCCCGCCACCCACAACAAATTCTGAAGAAGATGCAGAAGTTAATGGTCAGGTCGGAGAACGGGGAACCTTTCTCTGGCCACTCCCACACCCTCTGTTTGCTCCCTCTAGGGATGGGCACCCACCACCTCCCAAAGAAATCCACTGGCTTTTGAGCAGCTCTCATTGGTGGAAAGCTCTACCTTTTACTGAGCCAAAGTCTGTCAGCCCGTATCATTCCTCATCCGGCCCCTTGGACCATGCAGAACAAGCCTGCCCCCTCCCTTATAACAGCCCTGCAAGT